ATTAGGATGCGCGCTGCATGCAGCTTAATACAATCTGCCATCAAATGCCAAGTGCTTCAGAACTGAATTAGGAAATATGTCCAGATACACAGAATGATGCTCAGAGCCCTTTATGAGGCATGAGACCCATAGACAACATAATGCTCTAACGGAGGCAATTCTGTCTTCTAACCCTCCACCTCTGAGAGCAAAGGAATTAATAAAGATGATATGCTATCATAAATGTCTTCACAAATGAACAGATTCAGGAACTAGGAGACACAAAAACAAATCTTGAGGTGCTGTTTGGGCCTAAAGGGCCTTTCCTTTGTCGTCTTCTACTGTCACAGCCACCTCTGAGGCCACTGGAGTCTGAGAACCCAAGAATGTAACATCAACATTTCAGGACCATTTCAGCCTATAAGTTAAAGACCTCTGTGCAGCCCCTCTTACTATGTTCCACTTACCCAGTAAGACACAGGAACTAAGGCTGGATGTGGTGGCATATGCTTTAATCTCAGCACTCAGGAGGCAGAAGCAGGCAGATCTCTGTGAAATTGAGGCCAGGCTGGTCTACACAGTGAGTTCCAGGCCAACTAGAGCTACAAAAAAAAAAAAAAAAAAAAAAAAAAAAAAAAAAGAGGGGACACAGGAAAAGATAAGAAAACCCCAATCTCCTGTTTCACAATTTCTGTCAGTAGCTATCTGCACTGCCCTTTGAGAGAAACCCTTAGCTAACTCAGCATCCTCTAACTGGCACATCAGCTCCATTAGACTCTGTAGGAATGGAAAAGCTCAAAATACCTACTCCTTAGCCCCCAAATCCAGGATTGTGGATGCTAGACAAGAGTCCAAAGGTCAGGCGTCCAGCTCTCCTCATTTTACTGGAGAGGCAGCCAGATCACCTGTTAACAGAATCACAGACTCTCAAAGGGTCCCCAGCAAGTGGAGAAGAGACACACATTGGTGTACGTCACCACTCTTTCCACAACGACACTGGCCAAACAGGACTGCAAGCCCTCCTACATGGTGCTAGGCAGAGCTATGTGGCCTCATTATTCACCTTCAAAGCAGACAGCTGCAAAATGGTAGCACAAAGGGCAAAGTCAGCCTGAGCTCCACACATCCCATTCACCATAGCCTCGTTTTGCCATCTTTCTGCAGATACCTAGGAAAGAGACCCAGGACCTGCTAGGGGGTGGGGTGTATGCTGTCAACACCATCCAAGAACAACCTCTGTGGAGAACAGCATCTGTCAAAGTTATGAAGGCTCACACTCCTTTGACCCAGCAAGTCCACTTTAAGGAATTAATTCCGCAAATACAGCTGCAGCCATGTGCTTGCAATAGTCAAGGACTGGGAGTGATCTGATATTCATCTAGGGAAGGGCACCTAGCTGAATGAATGAGGCACATCCATCAGGTGCAATACAATAAATTCTACAGGCTAGGGTGGTGGTGCACACTTTTAATCTTAGCACTGAGGCCAGCCTGGTCCATATAGCAAGTTCCAGGCCAGCCGAGGCTACAGGGAGACCCTGACTCAAACAAAACAAATGACAACAAAAGTACACGCGGTACTTTGCTTGTAAGTACATGAACTACCTTGTAAAGGACGCACAAGAAATGAGCAACAACGACTTGCTCTGAGAGGAAAATTTTGGCAGCAGTTTGGCTCCAGAAGCCATCTCCCTACTGTCTTCCCCCCGACCCCTTTTCCTTTCTGTGTTTGGTTTTTTGAATCAGAAAAATGAAGTACTTTAAAAATGTTTTAAAGTATGTTTTTTAAGTAAAGGCAAAAATATAGAATAGTCTTTTTTTTTTTCCCTATGTCTTTACATAGACAAAGAAAATGCTGGTAAATCCAGTGTGGGCCCCAGGCCTAACCTCCAAAGTCAAGAATAACTGCCCCTCAGCAGGCAAGCAAGCAGTATATACAGAGCTCTGTCTCTGAGGCCTTGAAGCTTACAGTGCAGAGGATCAGAGAACCATAGCTCTACTCTCAAGAACAAGTAGATAAGCCTCGCAATCACCTGCTTTCGTTTCCTTAGAAAAGTATGCTTCTCAAGAGAACCCAGGCATGTGACAGTACCAGTTTGGAGAAATCTGTATGTAAGGTGATTTAACACTGCAATACCAGGAATACACTGTTGGTCTGTGAGGATGTGTGGTGACTACAGGATAAGTTGGCTGCTCCCTGAGAGGACGGAGGGCACCAAACACTTATTATTCAATGCTCATGCAGCTGTGGTGCCTATAAAACATCAGTGTGGCCAATAATGGTTCAAGGACACTCTCCAAGTGACCAGAAATAACACCTCTGAACACTTCCCACGGGTTATGGAGAGCTAAGTTTGAATAAAATCTCTTTCAGCATTTGGGCTTCACTATCCACTTTAATCACAGTTGATCAATAAGGGACTAGAATTAAGCCCCAGTTGTGTAACAGGTACAAATGAAGACAAACCAAACTGTTCCTATAAGCCTTCATCTGTGTCCCAGCTATTGAGGCCTGTGATGGTTTGAATGAAAATGTCCCCCATAGGCTCCAAGTATTTGGACATTTTGTCCCCAGATGATGGCGCTGTTTTGGGAGGTTTTGGAAGGTGTGGCTATCCTGGAGGAAGCACGTCACTGGGGGTGGGCTTAGAGAGTTCTTAAGCCTTACCAGATCTCCAGTCACCCTCTTGCTTCCTGTGCCTGTGTGATGATGTCCGAGCTTCACTTCTGCTGCTCCTGCTCCAGCCACCTCCAGCCACCATGCCTCCCTGCCATGACAGACTGTAATTCCCCTGGAACCGTAAGCTCAAATAAACTTGTCCTTCTATAAATTGCTTGGGTCAGTATTTCTATCACAGCAACAGAAAAGTGACTAACACAAGGCCAGAGGCAGAGCTGTAAGCCCCAGTGTGTGCACAGCTCCAAGCAAACTCCACTGCTTGGCGGCTCGCAGTAACCCAACAAACCATGTGGGGGCTGGCACTGCCAAGCTAAAGCATGGCATGAACAGCCTTGCACAGGAGACTGTTTGGGAATGACAACAGCACATTAGAGTATAGCGGGATACTACCAAACTTTCACATAGTCACCATGACTTGGAAAGGTTATCCAGTTATTATGTTTGTTTAAAGTGCAGGCTTTTCTGAGCAAGCAGAAAATGTATTAAGATGATGAGATGGAAAATTCTGTCTCTGCAAAGCTAAGGAAAGTGATGTCAAGGAAGCTTGGCTTTTCTTAGGAAGACAAAGCTCAGGCATTATCATCACAGGATTTCCAGTTAAGACATGCCAGATCTGCTCCAACAAGCAGACTGACCACAGCATGAAGGGTTGCCTTCCCACTGAAAGGCATTTTCTATTTCTGTATGAAGAATGTATAACTAGAATCCAGGATGTTTCTGTTTTTGAGCACTGACTAGTCTATAACAGTAGCACCTATAACATAGATTGGACTGCACAGATCATACAGAAAATAAGATGTAGTAGTCAGTACCGGAGCCAGGATCCAATTGTGAGTGGCAGATAAGAAGAATTCACAATGATGGCACATGTTTTCATCAGTCCTACAGCTCCACCAAGCAGGTACTACAGGAACTCTGTTGAACCAAGGAGGAAACAGGCAGACAAGAGGGCTATACAATGTGCCTGAGGTCACACAAGACAGAGCTAGGCAGTGTGTGTCCAGAGCCTGCCTCTCCAGTTCATATGGCTGCTGAGTGGGGAAGGGACCTTAATTCTTAGGGGAGGATGCTGTAAAGGAGCCAGAAGGCCCTGGCTGCCAACAGCAGTCTCAAGAGCAGGCAAACTAGAACCCAAACCAAAGAAAAACATCACCCATCTCCTCTGATCCCTCCCAATCCAAAAAAAAAAGAGTTCTAGAAATCAGCTTTAAGACCAAGTATATGGCCTAGAGTCAGAATAGTAAAAACCAGCAGTGATAAAATGTAGTCACTATTCAAAGAATTTCTGTTAAAAGCTTGCCTCCCTGCTTCTGGCTCAGATAGTATCAGCAGACATTTTCCTGCACTGTTGGTGACAATGTAAATGCTGATATAACCTTTTTCATTTTTTTTAAAGTTTATTTTATTTACTATTGGTATTTGTGTTTGTGTGTGTGTGCATGCGTGCGTGCGCACACACACCTTGGTGCATATACAGAGGTCAGAGAACAACTTTGTGGAGCTAGCTCTCCTTCTACCTTTACGTTGGTTCCAGGGATCAAGTGCAGGTGTCAGGCTTTCAAGGCAAGCACCTGTACCCACTGAGCCATCTTGTTGCCTGATACCGCAGTGAGATTAGCAATGACCATCTATATCTTGATGGATACTAAAGTCATATCTCCAGGGGACTGCTGCAAGTTGCAATGTGCAGTGTAGCATTGCCTAAGGTAGTCCAAAGCCCACCAAAGGTAGTGAACACAGTCTAAAATCCCACCAGTGAGGTCACTGCCAATACTGGAACCCTAGGGTCAGGAAGCTTGTGATATATGGTGACATGAAATGTCTGAGGCATATTACTAACAACATTAGACACAGAATAATGTATATATTATGGCCCCACATCTACTAAGATTTGCTCTTAGCATGTAGATGCACCTATACATACACTGCACTTTTCTACACAGATACATGAAAATTAGTCATAGTTTCTTCTGTGTACTAGGAATTGAAAAAAAGGGAAATACTTCATCTTCTATTATTTTAAAGTGCCAGAATTTTTTTTAGCATGCTGACACACTGCTCTAATAAAACAGTTGGAAAGAAAAAAAGCATCAAGACCTTCAATACTTTGCCAGGTGTGGGGTGCACACCTGTAATCCCAACATTCAGGAGGAAGCAGAGGAAGACAGCTAGGAGTTCATGGCCATCTTCAGTGAGTTCAAGGCCAGCCCAGGATACATAAGACCCTGTTTCAAATGAAACCAAACCAAAACAAAACAGAAAGACTTTAATTTTTCAAAACTGACTTCTAAAAAATAAAGTCTGTGTTGTGTTTGTTAATACACATCTTGCCATTTTCGTACCTTGTTTCCTTCGTACACCCATCCCAGACTCTTCACGCCAAAGGCAACCTGGCTGGCCGAGACATCCAGACATGTGACAGGCTGGCCGTAGACATAATGGAGTGTTCTGGCTGAGTCCTCGGCCTTTAGCAGGTACACCAGGTCTCCAGCAGTGGCTATTGCCACAGGATACCTCCCAGTATCTGGAACTATTTCAAGGTAGTCCACCTGTTAAAGGAGAGGTGCTGTTTAGTCCTCCAGTCATATTGATTTGGTCAAGAGAGCAAATTTCCACTGCACATTAAGTAGAAGGGCAGCAACCCAGCCCACAGAAACAGCTGAGCAAAGGGCCTGTTCACAGGTGAGGAAACATGGCTCTTGCCTAGATGAAAAGATGCCAATTGTAGAAGAAACACTCTAAAGCCTGTTCGGGACAGAGGCAGTCACAATATACATGGATTACACATGTGCAAGTTTTCTAACAATGGCTGTCTTCAAGAAGATAGGCTGTGAGATGCAGTGCAAGGGTGATTTCCCTCCTGTTAGTCTTACTGGGTCTTAAATTCTGAACCATGACAGTGTTATAGCAGCTATCCAAACAAACAAATAAGGTTTTATTGCTTTACAAGAAACTAAAAAGTAAAATGTTCTTAGTTCCAAGTGAACAAAAATGTTTCAATGAATATGTCTAAGTACCAAAATTTGTCAAAGGTTCAAACTGTCTGTGTTCTTGGCTCTCTCCTGGTCTGCCTGTTGGGCAGTGATCTCAGCAGGCCATGTGGCCACCTGAGAGTAGAAGACCATTAGAGATAAGCCATACTTTTTCAGTACTTTTTCTGTCTGCTCAGGGTGAAGATTGCCCTTCAAGAGTAATTTGTTTTTCTCCATCATGTGGTACTTCTTAGAGAGTCTACATCAGCTTTCCCCCTGCCTAAGTGACACAGAGTACAGCTGCCAAAGGTGAGCCCCACTGTGTGATCATGAAAATTCATGCTATAAAGGACCACATCCATTGCCCTGACAATATACCAGAGGACTTCAAAAGCCTGAGTCTTACAGGCTGTCCAGGGGAGCCAAGACCAAGCAAAGATTCACTGCCTCTGCTAATCCTTGGGCCCAACCATGCGTGAGGCAGCCCAGCATAAGGATGGTCACTCCAGGTTAACAGTGAAGATCTGGGAAGGCTGCCAATGCTATCCAAGGGGCATAGGTGGGAAAGTCAACGATGGCCCAGCTCCATGGGCCAGGGTGCCCAGCCCATGCTGTAATGACTCCTCACCCCAAAATAATGCTGGAACTCGGGCACATCCCCAGCAGTGCTGCTCCCTCCCTCTGCAGTCTCATTTTCCTATTTCCTAAAATGGGCATTTTTGGGGTAGCCATTTGACTCAATTCATGTTGGATTTCTGACAGCCGAAGAGGCTCTGATTGATGGCAGCTGTGCCATTCACTGGGCACTGTGAACTACTTCCAAAGCTTGTAGTCGGCACCGAGTGGCACCTTTCTGCCAAGGCAGGATTCACAGTTCATGGAGAGCTGCTCATCTTATGCAACTGTCTCAGCCCTTCTAACTGGGTGGGTCTACAGTGTCCTTGAGACACAGACCAAATAAGTAGCCCCACAGAAGTTTGGATAACAGAAATCCTGTACTTGCACTTTTTTTTCTAATAAAACCCAAAGGTGAGCTAACAACATCAGGCAGTTCTACAGACACTACATACGATTGGCAGACGTGATCCTCAGAGAGACAAGAAGCTTAGGGAGGTGAACCGATGATGCCAGGGTGCTTAAGTTATTCAAATCTAAGATTTCCACCAGGGAAAAGGGAGAGAAATAAAGATTGGTTCCAGGTTGGCTGCCGATTCACTATTCAAAGTCGGTTTTTCTACTCACTTACCGAACTGATGCCAAAATGAAGTGTGCTTAAATTAAATCCAAATTCGGCACAGATTTAAGTACTGCCTTCTTATTACCAAGCCATCTCCTGCCATGCAAACACAGATTCGTGTACAACTGAACTCTTCAATGAGCCTTATGCAAAGATTCCTAAGCTGGCTTCCCACATGACTCCTGGAACATGGCCGCCCAATTAACACTGAGTTCAGTCTATTTTCACTCAAGAGTTGTTCTTAATTCCAGGTGAGACAACCATAGGACAGAACACTTCCCCCACATGGACTGGGATGACACCACTGAACTCATTTTCACTTGTGCCTTAGGCCAGAAATGGAGCTCAGGCCCCTGAGGTGAAAGTCTGCCATGTTATCAGGAAGGCAGCTGAGAAGTCATGAAGACAAGCCCTGAAGCCAGCCCTGTGTGTGCTGCTTTGCTGTTCTGTTTTATTTTAGAAGTGGGAATGGGGCACTAGAGAGATGGTCAGTGGGTAAGGATACTTCCTGCACCTGCAGAGGGTCTGAGTTTGGTTCCTAGCTGAGAAGTTCACAATGCTGAGAAGTTCACAATTGCCTGTAAATTCAGCTCCAGGTAATCTGATGCCTCTGGGTTCCACAGGCACCTGCATTCCTGTGCACATACCTACACACACGTTAATTTTAAAAAAAGGACATGGGTATGGACCCAGGGTCTCACGCAAGCTAAGAAAGTACTCTACCACTAAGCTACAGCCCTAGCACAGCCCTCAGGTTTGACTTACAGCCTCTTAGCTCAGAGCCCTGGGACAAAGCATTTAGCACTCTAAGCCTCTTTTGACTTCTTGATGAATGACGAAAATCATACCACCTATTTCAATGGGCTATTATGAGATTTATGAATGGAAGTCCATCACCATTGTTTATATTAGACTCAGAGAGTCAAAAAATGGAAAGTAAAATGTGCATACTAAGCTTACCAGTTTCTGAACTTCGAATTCTGCAGCTATATGCCAGTACCCCTCCTCGTTGGGGTATAACATCACAACGTCAAAAGCAGAAGCTGTAGCAACAGTGGCATCATCTCGGCTGAGAGCGAGGGCCTGTATTCTTGCATCATGCTCAAAACGATGGATGGGGAACTTCCCAGTCCTCAGGTCCCAAATGTTAAGAAATCCTAGGAAGGAACAATTCAGGCAGCAATTGTAAAGTAACTCAGTATGGATGGTTACAGAATTATCATGCAGTTGTTTTATTTTTCAAATTCATTGTGTGAAGATGACAGATCACGTCTATTTGTCTGAATATAGCTCCACTACTTGCTAGTGGCAGGACTTGGAGGTGGTAGTTCATAATGCTGCAGATACATTACCTACCATGCGGGACTGCTGAGCAGGTTACAGGAGCCCAGCCATATGAAATGCTGGTGACTTCCTCTCTATTGCTCATTCACAAACCCAGCCCTAGTTCCTGTAACTTTCTACTGGCCTATGATAAAGCTGTTTGGTCTCCATCTCTTTGAAATCCATCTTCCTCTTTACCTCTATGTTGAAAGTGCCCTGAATTTAGGATCTTGCTATAAGCAATATTCAGCACACATAAACAGAGTTAGGAAAAAATACTGTATGTAGTCAGGCTTTGCAAGACTTTCAAACTGTCTGTACTCAGGTGACTGCAAACAAAAGTGGCTCTTTCCTCAAGCTAAATGTTTAACATTTAAATGCAGTGTACTCTTCTGAGAATTATGACAAACTTGAGCTCACAATCACAGAATTATGATAAATGCAGATCACAAAAAGCTCTGTGACACGGTCCCCTCACAAATATTTTGGCAAATTCTCTATTCTGCCTCAGAGGGAGAAGACACTGTACAAAAAGTGCAAGGGCCTTAACTCATTAAATACAAGTTAGGGTCTCCCTTTCAAGATGCCTCAACTTAACGCTCACTTCTTCCTAACACTGCTCTGTGTCTGAGACATCACAACCAACAGAGAGGAGAGAGGAAAAGGTTTTGGGTATCAGGCACTCATCTGTCTCTTCTCACTGCATAAGCCCTTCCACCTTGGAGAGAACGTGGAATACCTTCATTGCACATAAGAGAAAACCAGAAGCTCTAAGTGGCTGAAAAACGGCTCCACAGCTACTTGGTCTGTGATGAAGCCAAGTTGGGGTTTAGCTAGAAAAATGCAGGGTGGGTAGCTATGTTCACAGGTGCATGAGAAAGCTAAAGGCTCAGTGAGTGACTGACACAGACCACCAAGCTCGCTGTGTCCTGCCAAGCATGGCAGCTATTTAACCATAGCTCACTCTAAACACACACGGAGTTTATCTATAAACACATTGTTCATTATTAGTCAAATATTGGTTTGGTTGGCACCATTTTACCAACAGAACTGGGTACAATAAAACACTTCACCACAAAGCTGAGTTTCAGTGCTAGCCTCAGAAGATGCACTAGGGTTCACCAATGTAACAATCAGATTCTCTGCTGAGTATTTGTTCCACTTCACCTTCTACAGTTCTTCTACTTCAGGTGTGTGCGACCAGGCTCATAAGCACTTGCCAATGGCACTGGTAGCACTGCACTGCAGTCCTCGGGGTTGCATCTGGTGCATGAGCATTTGGCATTCTTACTCTTCTTGAAGAAATGGCCTTTATAACATGGGATGTCCTGCCTTGTCCAAGGTTAGAATCTCTGCTCTAAAATCCACTTTGCTACTGAAACAGTCGCTTGGGATTTTTAACTCTTATTAAAATAAATAGGTCTTTATGTTTAAAGTCAGTTTCTTGGAGTCAGGCATGGTAGCACTTCTCTGTAACCTCAGTATAACTGCTGAGGAGGCTGATGCATAAGACTGAGTTTGAGGCTAGCCTGTGGCATACAGCAAGTCCAAGGCAAAATGGGCTAATAGCAATACCTTGTCTCAAAATACATACATACAGGGGCTGGAGAGATGGCTCAGTGACTAAAAGCACTGGCTACTTGCAGAGGACCCAGGTTCAGTTCCCAGTACCCACATGATAGCTAACAACAATTATAGACATAAAATTAATAAATCTTATAAAAATATTTTATTATTTTTATTTTAAGTGTGGGTGTTTTGTCTGCATGTGTGTAAGTGTACCTGTGCTGTGCAGTCCCCATGGAGGTCAGAAGAAGGTGTTGGCTATCCTGGAACTGGAGTTGCCGATGGTTGTTAGCCACCATGTGGGTGCTGGGAACTGAACCCAGATCCTCTACAAGAGCAGCCAATACTCTTAACCACTAAATCATCTCTCCAGCCCTCAAATTAATAAATTAAAAAAAATTAAATCCATCCATCCATCCATATATACAACATAAAGTGGGTCGCCTATACACAGCATATAGTTGGCCTTACATTAACTGTGATGCTAAGTGTACTATATTTAATATATATGAATAAAGTGGGTTTAATCTTCATTTCTACATTTCTGGTCGGTCCTATCCATTCTTGGTTCCTGTTCTCCTCTCATTTCTGGTCTTTCTCTGATTGGATATATGTTTATTCCATTGTGATTCCTTTGTTGGTTTAAGGGCCAAAATTCTGTGGAGTTATTGGGTAGCTGCTTCAGGGTTCTAATGTCCATCTTTAGCTCATCATACCCTACCTTCACATGATACCACAGAACCACATTGAGCACAAGGACTTCACAGCAACATATCCCTCCCTTTCCTCTCGACCTCAGAGGACAAGGCAAGAAATGTTAGCAGCTCACAGGGGCAGACTCTTGACCAAAAGCTTATTTTGTAAATGGCTAGTTTATGTTATAATTACACCTTCGTTACTTTTTTTTTTTTTTTTTTTTTTTTTTTTTTTTTTTTGTCTTTTTGAGACAGGGTTTCCCTGTAACCTCAGCTGTCCTGGAACTTACTATGTAGACCAGGCTGGCCTAGAACTCAGAGATCCGCCTGCCTCTGCCTCCCGAGTGCTGGGATTAAAGGCGTGCGCCACCACGTCCGGCCCACCTTTGCCACTTTTACAACATGAAAGCTGCAGGGACTTGAAGACTTGATACCTGAATTATAAGCAAGTTCTATAATGTTGTATGTTAATACTCAGAAAAAAGAGGAACCATTAAATCATACACTTAGCAAGTACTTACAGAACCCCTATGCTGCTTCAAGGAGCTGTTAGGTACTGGGGTGTCACTGTGCTTCAGAGAAAATAAAAACATTCCTGACTGCACATAATGAACATTCTGGTGGTATCTACTGAGCACTGTACTCCCAAGTCTTTGGATATCAGAAGGGTATGATCCCATTCTCACAACACGCACACAGGAGGAAGACTAACCTTTATTAGCTAAAACAGAGAGCAAAGTACAATATAATAGGGGTATGTGCAAAGGGCAAGGAGGGATGGCCAAGCTTAACTGTCAGGTTTGGTCACGCTGTGCTCAGACCCAAGAGGGGCAGCTAATTTCAGAAAGTTCAAGTTGAGCTGATCTACATTCAGTTGCACGACTATTGAAAAAAAGGTCAGCAATGCTAGTCAGAGCCAAACAATTCACTTCTCAAAAAAGGTACAATTTTAATTGTACAAAACAAGATCTAATTTATTCTTACTTATGTGTATGTGCATATGTCTGTATGTGTAAGGGTGCCCTGGAGGCCAGAAGAGAGTATCGGATCCTCAGGAGCAGGAATTGCAGGTGGTTGTGAGTCACCTGATGTGGGAATCCACCTTGGGTACTGTTCTGGTTTGATTCTCCATTGCTATGACAAAACACTCTGACCACTACCAACATGGGGAGGAAAGGGTTTATTTGGCTTACATACCCCAGGTCACAGTTCATCAGGGAGCCCAAGGTAGGAACTCAGGGCAGGAACCTGGAAGCAGAAGCTGGAGCACAGGCCGTGGGGGAACACTGCTTACTGGCTTGCTCCTCTGCTCAGCTTGCTTTCTTATGCAACAGAGGCCCACCTGCCCAGGGGTGGCACCACCCACAGTGGGCTGGGCCCTCCCACATCACTCATCAAGAAGATGCCCCTCAGACATGGCCACAGGCCAGTCCAATGCAGGTAATTCCCCAGTTGAAGCTCCCTCAACCCAAGTGTGTCAAATTGACACTAAAGCTGTCCAGCACAGGTACTGTGAAAGAAGCAAGTGCTTTTAACACTGGGCCCTCTTTCTAGCCTCCCTCAAACAGGTATGATTTAAAAATTCTAATGTGGATTCATTTGAATGACCACACTACAGGCCCAGCAATGAAACTGATTTAGCTTCTGACACTGTGTGACACACAGAGGCAGGATCGTGCCCTTTGCTTTTCTATTCCCTCCAACAGTGAATGCAGTAAGCACAGTTGGCCATCAGCAAAGGCTGAATGCTTGACTCCCATATCAGCAAGGAACATTCAGTTGTAGGCAGCAGAAACCCCAGTGAAACTGGGACAGAAGGAAAACTGACTGGAAAGGTACAGACTATGTCATTTAGCCCGAGGACAGGAAGCACAAAGCAGCCTGAGCTGACAAGGGATCAGAACCAGGAAGTAAGAGGCCTCTCTGTGTGGGCAGATCTTGCCTCTAATTCTTTCTACCACTGTTTCCTTTTTCCTGTCTCCCCCACCCAGTTTTCCCTTGTTCCTGAATGCACAGGAAGTGGCTAGTCCCATTCACGAGGGCTTCTACTCTAAGCACACAACAGTGTGAGGTCCAGTCCATGAATGGGTCCTGATCCCTGGTCTGATCAGCTGATCCCAAATGACCACCTCAAATCCTCTGACCTGCCCACCTTTTGGGGTGCTGGGAAGACCTCAGGCTGAGGAGACAACTTAAATTGTCCTCCACAATCACCCTGTGTATTAGGCCAAGGTCAAACAAGAACATCTCTCAGCAAAGGCAAAGGGAGGCACTGGGTAGCTGCTCAGTGACTTAACTTGTCACAATTTCCTGCCAGGCATCGTCCACTAGACCTAAGCTGCAAGAGCTGGAGTCTAGGCCCCACATCAGAATAACAGAAAGAGAGCAGGTGCCCCTCTTCCTCCCTGACAAATGTTCAGTGGCTATAGACATGCTCAATTCTGCCATAGTGCTGAAGAACAACAATAACATTTTGCTCAGCAGAAATTTGAAAAAGATGAAAACAAAAGAGGAAACCAGGTCTTTCAAAAAACATCTGGAAGACAGTGAGCAAAGGCCAAAGCCCCACAAGT